ACAGGCCATAGTCTTAACAGGTCCTCAGTCTTAACAGGCCATAGTCTTAACAGGTCCAGTCTAACAGGGCCTCAGTCTAACAGGACCTCAGTCTTAACAGGGCCTCAGTCTTAACAGGCCATAGGGCCTAATAATACCCTATAGTAGGCCCAAGTCAAACAGGACCCAATCAAATAATCCTCAGACTCTAACAGGACCTCAGTCTTAACAGGTCTCAGTTTAATGAGCAGTCTTAACAGCCATAGTCTTAACAGGTCTCAGTCTTAACAGGCCTCAGTCTTAACAGGGCCTCAGTCTTAATAGGGCCTCAGTCTTAACAGGCCATAGTCCTAATATAATACCCTATAGTAGGCCCAAGTCAAACAGACCCAATCAAATAATCCTAGTCTTAACAGGACCTCAGTCTTAACAGGTCCTCAGTCTTAACAGGGCCTCAGTCTTAATAGGTCCTCAGTCATAACAGGGCCTCAGTCTTAACAGGACCTCAGTCTTAACAGGGCCTCAGTCTTAACAGGGCCTCAGTCTTAACAGGGCATAGTCTTAACAGGTCCTCAGCCTAACAGGGCCTCAGTCTTAACAGGGCTCAGTCTTAACAGGGCCTCAGTCTTAACAGGGCTCAGTCTTAACAGGGCCTCAGTCTTAACAGGGCCCCAGTCTTAACAGGGCATAGTCCTAACAGGTCCTCAGTCTTAACAGGCTTCAGTCTAACAGGCCCCAGTCTTAACAGGGCCTCAGTCTTAACAGGGCCTCAGTCTTAACAGGCCTCAGTCTTAACAGGGCCTCAGTCTTAACAGGCCTCAGTCTTAACAGGGCCTCAGTCTTAACAGGGCCTAGTCCTTAACAGGCCCCAGCTCAACAGGCCACGTCCCAATATAATACCCTATAGTAGGCCCAAGTCAAACAGGACCCAATCAAATAATCCTCAGTCTTAACAGGGCCTCAGTCTTAACAGGTCCTCAGTCTTAACAGGGCCTCAGTCTTAACAGGACCCTCAGTCTTAACAGGGCCTCAGTCTTAACAGGACCTCAGTCTTACTCACAGGGCCTCAGTCTTAACAGGGCCTCAGTCTTTGCTTAACAGGGACCCTCAGTCTTAACAGGTCCTCAGTCTTAACAGGGCCTCAGTCTTAACAGGACCTCAGTCTTAACAGGGCCTCAGGGCCTCAGTCTTAACAGGGCCTCAGTCTTAACAGGGCCTCAGTCTTAACAGGGCCTCAGTCTTAACAGGGCCTCAGTCTTAACAGGGCCTCAGTCTTAACAGGGCCTCAGTCTTAACAGGCCATAGTCCTAATATAATACCCTATAGTAGGCCCAAGTCAAACAGGACCCAATCAAATAATCCTCAGTCTCAACAGGACCTCAGTCTTAACAGGACCTCAGTCTTAACAGGGCCTCAGTCTTAACAGGGCCTCAGTCTTAACAGGACCTCAGTCTTAACAGGTCCTCAGTCTTAACAGGTCCCAGTTATTATAGATCCCAGTTCAATAGGCCCTAGTCCTAACAGACTCCAACCTAAACTAACCATTAGGATTGGGGCCCAGTTGTAGTGGCCCCTCGTTTTAATGAGTCAGTCACAGCTAAGGGCACACAAGACTCCGGGTCCTGATGTCATGGTCACATTGACTGCTGGTCTGTTTTAAACCTGTTAATTCTTATTATACTTCACGTCCGCAAAACATCCCTAGGAAGAAACGCGGTTTACACCAAGGATCCCTCCATAAGTCCCACCTTGTGAACACTGTTGTCAATACCTATATTCCACTCTTTACTGGCAAGTTCCTTCTTGAATTAGTTTGTGTAAATCAACTTAAGTAATTCGCCAGACCCGTGTCAACTGAGGGTCATCTTTGAATGCGTAACAGTGGGTTTGTATGTAATTTTTGTCATTGTGTGAGTAGCCACCTCTGGCAACTCACGGGTATAAAAACCCGGGCGAGGGAGAGACGTCCTTCCCCTGACGCCCTCCAACTTTGTTCTCAGGTATGTAGGTGTGTGTTCCCCGCCGATATAGCCATTCAGTTTAACTTAGTCAATTTTGTGAGTATCAGTGTTCATGTTGTAACAGTGAAATTGTCATTTACTCAGTTTAAGAAGTACTAAAGTAAATGTCGTCTGACGTTGCCAGACGAAAGATTGTTTGTGATTGAGTTCATCATGTTTCCCGTGACGCCCTCCAACTTTGTTTTCAGATCCAGTGTGTGGGTCATTTGAACACCCCACCGGCTGCCCGAGTCGATGGATACCTAGCAGTTAGCTATATTGGACGATGTCGCCGATTCGGTAGGATGCAAATTGCTCCAGTCTGCATTCTGGGAAGTAGACGCCAGACTCTCGCCACGTGTTCGACTACCACCGATCATAACAGCGGTTGTCAGTTGTGAGACGCCAGTGTCCTACCCTGGGACACTCCTGGAAGTTATATGGTCCACAGTGTTTGTTGTATATGATTGGGGATAATTATCTGGAATATAATTATCCCATGTTGGGTAGTGAACCCACGTATAACTTGTTTGTATCAGTAATAACGTGTTGTGAGTGCATCTCATATGTACTAACAACAGTCTAGTGAAGGTATCAGATGTAAGTTTGTCTTGTAATGTAATATGAGTAAAGCCAAGGAGTTGACCCTGGCAACTGTTAATGTAAGGTACCACCAGCAGTGTTGTAAGAAGTAGTAAGAGTACAGTATCTAAGTTGCATGCAGTTGAGTAAAGCCAAGGAGTCTAAATCTTGGAGTTGTATGTTAATGACATCTTTTTCCCTACTTTGATTTCATATTAATAAACCATTTCTTAGAGTATATTAGGGGTATTCATTTCATCCCAGTATCTACCTTTATTTTGTCCAAGTGACCTTGATACCAGAATTACAGTACCCATGTGCCTACCCTCGCCATGCTACCAAAAGAACTGAGGTTATGAAGTGACCATGAACTGAACTACTGTATGTAGACAAAACAATTGAAGGTACTAAGACAGACAGAAGTATGAGATAAGTATAAGGGCGGAAGAAAATCCCAGTCTTTAAGGGTGGCTCGGTGGTTTAGTCAGAAGTAGTAGAAGAGACCGCCGCCCTTACAATGGTGGCAGTGTTGTCCCTGCTCTTACACTGACAATGACGGTCCGTCCCTCGTAACGATCTTCAAGAGCGAAGTGCTTCCCCATCTGGAGTACTGTCACCCCGTCTGGTCCCCGAGATATGCTAGGGACTGTCAGTTGGTTGAAAATGTTCAAAGGAGGGTCACCAGACTGGTGCCCTGCCCTTCGGCACCTCAGCTACCCTGAGAGATTGGAGCGCCTGAACTTGCCTAGCTTATACTACAGACGGGCAAGGGGTGACCTAATAGAGGTGTATAAGCATCTCAGAGGGCACTACTGGGTCGAGTGTCCTTACTTGGAGCTGGCGGACGCTCACCCCACAAGGGGTCACAGCTCAAGATTGAAGAAGCAGCCAAGTCCAGAAAACTGTGAGGGCAAACTTTTTCGGAGTGAGAGTTGTGAACTCGTGGAACAATCTACCAGAAAGTGTTGTGACCAACACTGGAGCAGGTTCAGGTACATTCAGGAGCCGGTGCATGCCCAGTCCTTGCCAACAGTGCGTAACAGAGACGTGACCTATCGCCCAAGCGGCTAACGAGCCGATCAGTGGTGAAGAGGATTAAAGATTAGTTGTGTGACCGTGAAGCTCGGCAGCAGGTTTTGCAGTAACACATTGCAGTAACACATTAAACAACACATGTACTGTCCCATGTTTCTTTATTTGTACTGTAAGTCTGGGGTATAACTGGTCAATTTCAAGGTCTGTTCACTCACATCACCAGGCCATACTGGACATGACTGCAGTAAGCGTGGCTTCCTGTTGCAGTCCTCCACTTGGGAAGCAGCGCTCATACACTAGGGAGGCACAGTCCACTAAAAATAGACTTTTCAATCCTTCTAAGCCTTTAATAACAGTTTATTGCTATAGCAACAACAAAACTTTACTTTTGTAGTATTTGTCCCTTCTAAGAATCCTTTGGCCAACAACGAGACTCAACAAGAAACTGCTACTCGCAACAAATACAGGTTAAAATGTTCCCTTTACCTTGTAGTTCAGAAGACCTTTGTAGTTACTAAGTATAGCAAATTTGGCATCACAAACAGAACCTCCCCTCTCTGTTAGAGAAATAAGAGCCAATAAAAATTAAAAAAGATTTGAGGCCAAATATAAGGCATGGGAACCCTCCTTTGGGGTAATATATCTTCACATTTTGACACCTGGTTTATACTAATGAAAGTTCAATAACTGATATTCTACTTTTTAAATATACAAATAAAGTCCTTATAGAGTACTGTATACAAGAAACGTAAACTACAAAAACTATCTAAATGGCGCCTAGAGGGTTTCTCATTTACAGGGGAAACATTTGAATAGTAGGTCCTCCCGCCAGCTACACTTACACATCCTTTACTTTACGACCAAACTTAAAACGAGTCGATCATTTGGTGAAGAGGATAAAAGAAAAGGAAAAGTAACAGACGTGACCGATCGCCCAAGCGGCTAACGAGCACTGTACTGCTACATGAACACTATGTACACCAGAGACTCCTGTAAATGGTCAGTCTTTCTTTTATGATTATGATATGTAGTTTTAGTCTTCACCAATAGATGTAATGAAAACTTAAATGATTGTTGCTTAATATTAATATCTTACTATCGAATGAAGTGAACAGTATAAAGTAGAAAGTTACTTATCAGTGATACTAAGGATAAAAACTATAATTTAAAAGGCTGACTAGAGCTCCAAAACGATAATGAGGCCATCCAGTTATTTGTTTTCATCCAGTAAAGTGCTATTTTAATCATGAAATTCAATTATTGTTGTCTTTATTTTCACGTACTTTAAAATTAACCCAAATTTATTCTATATAATAAAATTTACTTCAAAATAAACCAAAAGCTTGTATTAATTATAATTTAAAATATAAACTGTTTTTTCCCCAGGGCAAACGTCGTCGCCTCTTGCCGGATACCAACGACCACAGATGACCGGAACAATAACAACTAGAGTCATCGGTGTTTTCGTTATTAATTACAATAATCTGTAATTCTTGTATCTAATTTGGAAGTTATAAATATGTAAGTTCATGTGAGCTTTCATTATCTGTTCAAATTGTAAATTTTTATTGCATGGTTAACTGATAAACTCCAAAATACTGAAGGAGCGGATTTGTTTTGGTCAGATCAGAATGTTAGTGTCAAAAAATTCTCTATTTATCATGTCACTACTTATCAGTTTACTCGTCGTACAGTTAGTTGGTCTGATCTTTAATACTTTAGGCTAGTATGGAGGACTTCAACAGCTGTTTCCCTCCTTCCTCAGTAACAAGGTCGCCCCCGGCTGGGTTAGGTTAAGGTTGGGTTAACTTAAACTTTTAAGTTAATATTCGTCCATTGGCTGTCCGCAGGTTCCCACCATGTTACCTGAGGTTATACTTCTCACTTAAAGTCAGTTATCTCTTCATTTCCTCCTCCACCTTGTAAGTTAGGTTAGGTAGGTTGGTTCTTTTCGTGTGAGAATAGGTTTTATTTTATTTTTTTTATGTGTTTTACTCAAATCTGACCTCTATTTTGGGGCAAGTTATGTGTTTATTAAAAATTAAAATTTTAATTTTTTGCAAAAACCGCTGGTACTATTTTACTTTAGAACATAGTGCTCCTGAAAGTTATAAACTACTGAAACATTTAGATCTCGCTATTCTGAGTATTACCAACCCCATCTGTACCTCCCAGGCGGAAATGGATAATAGCGACAATTGAATTGAATTTATTTAACGTAGTTTTGTCTTCGTCTGTGAGATGTTATCTGAGCATCATGCATGCGCATTGCTGACTGACGTCATCCAGTCGTGACCAATGATGTATCAATATCATCACGCGAATTTTTTTCGACCAATCGCATTTGATTTTTTTCAAAGGAAGCCGCCTGGGTAATTTCATTGACCAGTCTCACATTGGCTGTGGTGGAGGTTGGTTGTCATTTGTGCTCCTACGATTATTTTAAGTTTATTGTCGAGTTTTATGAGAAAGACGATTATTCTATCCATTTCTTACGTATCCCTGGTCCTCCCACTTCTAACTAAGGTATTGTACTTTCAGACACGGCGTGCCCCAAAGTTTTAACTACTGAAACATTTAGGTTAGTTTAAGCTAGGCCTACCGCCCCCGGCTAAGAGTTTGGTTAGGTTATGTCAGATGACCCGTTTTCCTTTTCAACCCCCCACCCAAAAACCCTGATTTCCCAGGCTCCCTCATTATTGTTGGTGGGGGGGGACGAGCAATTTGCACCAAAAATGAAGATCAGATTCGTTTAAAACACACCAAAATACACTGGAAAATCATATTGGTTAACCCCTAGTGACTGATGTCCTAAAGTAAAAATTTACCAAACTGTTAACTTGCACAAAAAAAAAACTTTTCTTGTACCAAAACCTGAGAACAGCCAATGGACGAATATTTACTTTTAAATAAACACTTTTTAACACATTTGCCATGACTACAACAGTGTCAACTATAAAACAGTGAAATTGTGGCATTTTATAAATTCGTTTTCCATGAAAAATCAGTGGCTGTGTAATAATAAATAATAACCTTAGCTAGTATAATTTATTGTGACCTTTCTTATCCAATGTTAGTTCACTGAGGAAACCTGCCATGTTTGGTAGTATCACACTGGATAACAACCTTTTCACGTCTGTCCCAGGATGGGAACTGAACGGAGGAAACATTATTGAGAGAGACACATCATACTGCTCTACCATAAATAACTCCAACACTTGGTGAAGATTTGCTTAATATTCGTTTTATGGCTGTGGCAAGATTTCAGGTTAGGTTAGGAAGGTTACTGTAGGTTGGTTAAGTTTGGTTAGGTTTTAACAGTGATTTGGAAGTTGAATTCTCATAACAAAAAGAAGCCACAGCTGTATAACGAATATTTACTGAAGATTTTGTGTGGGAAAGTCCATAAATTGCATTTCGTTCATTTTCTCCACAAATGTTAGTTGCAAGGTACTAGGTAGACTCTGCTGCCATATGGTATCACAAAAATTGTGACCAAGTCCCAGGTTACTAATCTGACTTTCTGCCTCATTTACACACAATTGCAGGGTCTCAATTGTTTCTCTTACTATGGACAACACAACATACATATATTGTTTCTCACTATTGATATTTTGTTTTTAATTATTGTATTTATTTATTGTCCTTTATTATTATTATTATTATTATTATTATTATTATTATTATTATTATTATTATTATTATTATTATATTTTCTTCCCCAGGCCCTGATGTGGGTCATTAACCTGTGCTCTGGTGAGCTAATCCCGTAAAAAAAAAAGTAATAAAAATTATACAACAATGCACAGAACCACGACCTAACCAAGCAAAACTACCTAACCTCACCTAACTTCCTAACCGGGGGTCAAAAAGAACTTTGATATGGCCATCATCGGTAGAAGTTAGCTGTGGGGACGGTGGTCATCATCAGTGGAAGTTAGCTGTGGGGACGGTGGCCATCATCAGTGGAAGTTAGCTGTGGGGATGATGGTCATCATCAGTGGAAGTTAGCTGTAGGGATGGTGGCCATCATCAGTGGAAGTTAGCTGTGGGGATGGTGGTCATCATCAGTGGAAGTTAGCTGTAGGGATGGTGGCATCATCAGGTGGTCATCATCAGTGGAAGTTAGCTGTGGGGACGGTGGTCATCATCACGGTGGTCATCATCAGTGGAAGTTAGCTGCAGGGACGGTGGCCATCATCAGTGGAAGTTAGCTGTAGGGATGGTGGCCATCATCAGTGGAAGTTAGCTGTGGGGACAGTGGTCATCATCAGTGGAAGTTAGCTGTGGGGACGGTGGTCATCATCAGTGGAAGTTAGCTGTGGGGACGGTGGCCATCATAAGTGGATGTTAGCTGTAGGGCCGGTGGCCATCATAAGTGGATGTTTCACTTTCCTTACATTCCATTTATGTGGATACAGGAGGTGGAGTGGTTAGGGGATTCTTATCCACCAGTAAAGGCTTAAAACTTCTGATATGTTGATTCAATTTTATTTTGTTGCAGAGAAAAGTATGATGGATTGGGGAGAAAGATGGAGCGAGGTCCGTAAATTATTAGAGAGACCCGGACCTTTCACCCACCCAGATTTCGAACCTTCTCCAGACACCCTCAAGATGCTGCAAGAAAATATGCGAGTTTTAGTCATTGGTACGTCCTAATTGTACAGTACAGGTATTTACTGATTTTCTACAAGATATTTTGGAAGGTTTACCTCAGAGATTATCATAAAGTACTGTATTGGCCAGTAGAGTTAACCTTTATGCCCCGTGTGACATTCCAGAACGTCTGCCTATTCCCGCCATTTATTTATTTTTTTATTTTGGGAAAGGATTTTTTTCTCTATTTATTCACGAGAGGGGGGGGGGGTCCTGCCAGCAGTACCATAACCCGAGGATTAAGGGTTAACACCGAGATAAAAACACAAAGCAGAACAATACAGTCAGATACCGGCGAGCTAACTGATAACGACGGAGAAATGAGCAATAATCTGAATAAATATTTTTCAACAGTTTTCACCACCGAAAATTTAAACATGATACCCGAGGCACCGACTATATACAGAGATAGTGAAGAAAATAGATTAAGCGAGATAGTAGTGACTAGTAACGATGTTAATAAACAAATAGACAAACTAAAGCCTAATAAGTCACCAGGTCCCGATGAGATATTTGCCAGAGTATTAAAGGAATGTAAGGAAGAGCTTAGTATGCCCTTAGCAAAATTGTTTATCATGTCCTTAAAAAAGGCTGCAGTGCCAGAATCCTGGAGGATAGCGAATGTAATACCGATTTTTAAGAAGGGAGATAGATCACTATCCCCTAACTACCGTCCAAGCAGCTTAACATCAATTGTAGGCAAATTACTGGAAGCAATAATTTCAAGCTCTATTCGAACTCACCTGGAGAAGCACAAATTGATCAATGATTCCCAACATGGCTTCACAAGTGGGCGCTCATGTCTAACTAATCTACTCACACACACATATGTATACAACATAGGTAAAATAAATAATTGTCCGGAGGGCAAACATATAAAGAGAATATGCATTTCTTTGTACACAAGTAAAATACCCCACGAATTTGAAGGGCATGTTGTATACATAAACAACATAGATATCGGCATAGACAACAACATAAGTAAATTTGTTGATGACACTAAAATAAGGCGTGTAATTAAATCTAATGAGGACTCCACAAAACTACAGGAAGATCTAAAAAAAAATTGCATGGTCTGAAAAATGGACGATGAAATTTAATGTGGACAAATGTAAAGTACTTAATGTAGGAGATGTAAACAGAGACACCAGATATCAGATGAACAACGTTGTTATTGAGAAATTTGACTGTGAGAAAGATTTAGGAGTACAGTAATAAGTAGGAATTTTCAACCAAGTAAACAATGTGTATTTGCTCGTAACAAGGCTAACAAAGTACTTGGGTTCATACAAAGGAGTGTTAGTTACAAGACTAGCGAGGTCATCCTAAAACTATATCTTGCGCTTGTGAGACCTCACTTGGATTTTACAATTCAGTTCTGGTCACCGTACTACAGAATGGATATAGAATCCCTAGAAAGAATTCATAGGAGAATGACAAGACTAATCTCGGGCATTAGGAACCTTGAGTACAGAGACAGGTTAAAGCATCTTAATTTGCACTCCCTTGAGAGACATAGAGTGAGGGGTGATATGATCAAGGTGTACAAATGGAAGTCAAGGTTAACCAAAGGCGACTTAACAAAGGTACTCAAACTATCCAACCAGGAGCGAACTCGTAACAATGGTTTTAAATTAGACAAAGTTAGATTTAGGTGCGAAATAGGTAAACACTGGTTTGGTAATAGAGTAGTGGACGAGTGGAACAAGTAACCAAACATCATCATTAACTCAGGCTCCGTTGTGGGTCGTTTGACCTGTGCCCGGGTGGGCTAATTCCCGTAAAAAAAAAAAATAAATAAGCTGGATAGTTTCAAATGTTGGTTGGATGGGTATATGAGCGATAGGGGTTGGGTGTAAACAGGACTGCCAAGTATGGGCCAAAAGGTCCACTGCAGTTTCTTCTATTCTTATGTTATTACTACATCAATTGCAGGTATGACTGTGTTGGCAATAAACCTATCTCTACTTTTATGCTGTGGCTCAACTAATTATCAAATGTGATCATAGAAGCCAAGGATGACAAGACAGATGGTTTGAATATATTTACCTGGTAATAGACCACAAAAATCCAACCTAACATGACTTCTTTTTTTCTTCATATTTTTGGGGTTGTGATACATGCAGTGATAAATGATTTACTGTGTCGCCCCTCCAGGGTCCCAAGGTTCAATAGATTTCTTTAATATTTATGCAAAACTCCTGAATGCGGAATGGTTGTAAGAGTAAGAGCTGTCTATACTATATTCGAATATTATTGTGAGAATTGTTGTGCACTGCTCCATTAACACTGTAAACCTTTTTTTCTCCATAAATATTATATATCATCATTTTCCTCAGTGTTCCTATAGCGTAAAACAAAATCTATGTTCTCTACTCCATCATCATTTTGTCAACATGTTAGTGATTCCCTTGCAGGTGCTGGAGGCTTGGGGTGTGAGCTGCTCAAGGATCTGGCACTAATGGGCTTCAGAAACCTACACGTGATCGACATGGACACCATCGATCTCTCCAATCTAAATCGTCAGTTTCTGTTCCGCAAGAAGGACATTGGCCGCTCCAAAGCAGAAGTCGCCGCCGAGTTCATTAACCGGCGTATACAGGGGTGTCAGGTGGTGCCGTATCCTTAATGAATATCTTCGGGGCATCTGTTTAAAGTATTGCTTAGATGTATATAGAAAAGATAACCTAACCAAACTCCACCCAACCAAACCTAACTCAACCCAATCTAACCCTTATCTATCCCATTCCAACCTAGCTCAGCTCAAACTAACCCATCCTAACCTAACCTACCCAAACCCAGCCCAACCTAAACAATCTTAACCCAGTGCCTATAATTTCTGACTGATTGACTGACAAGGCTGTTCACTGAATACAAAGGTACTTGATATGTCAGTTCATAAACTCTTTGACACTTGGTTTAACCCCTTGAGTACGATTACCTTTTTATGATACCATACTTTGAGTACGGTGATGTACTAAGCCTTGAGTACTGTACTATGATCTTGTATATGTTGTACTCATGGTGTTAAGTCATTGTACTCAAGGAATTAAATAATCATACTCAGAGTTAAGTTATTGTACTCAAGGGGCTATGTCATCATATTTAAGGGGTTAAGGCATCATTCTCAAGGGGTTCACTCATCATACTCAAAGGGTTAAGTCATCATACTCAAGGGATTAAGTCATCTTACTCAAGGGGTTAAGTCATTATACTCAGAGAGTTAAGTCATTGTACCCAAGGGGCTAAGTCATCACATTCAAGGGGTTCAGTCATCATACTCGGGGGGTTAAGTCATCATACTGAATGGGTTAATAAACTGTTGAGTGAATACAAAGGTACTAAATGGATCTGTTCTTAACCTTCCCATTGGCCAAGCCTTCCCCAGTATTCCTCCCATGTAAAGTATTAACTTATGGAGGCAGGGAGGGAAAGGAGGGGATTCCTGTGGGTTTTGCCTTCATCTCAGACCTGATTCAAACTGTGTGTGTAAACCCTATATGCTTTTATTGACTGATACATTATGGTATATTATGCAGACCTTCCATACATACTGAATATCCCTTGATCTCTGATTGGGTTAGGTTCCTTGAAAACCATTTGGATATTTTTTAGAGAGTGAATAACATAAGTAATCTCCCCATTAGACAGAATCTCCGGTCCCCAGATCTTTCCAATGGCTGGAATGAATTTTGAGGCTTCTAGGAAATTCCAGGAAAACTCTCTCCATTCCGGGCATGGGAACGAGTTTCCGAGGATGAAATCATGAGCATTTTGCGAGAAAATTTCTCCGTTCCTAGCATGGAGCCAAATTTTATAGTAGTTCCAAGAGATTGCTTCGTGCTCCGATAGGTTCCCACATGCTAAGCCTGTGGGTGGGCTAACTTTTTGGGTAACTTAGGCTGAGGCTCACATGCTTAGTTCATATTCTGCTACCTTTGTACAAGGTTGTTCCCTCGTTCGTTGCTGTTTTTACATACAATTTGTGTTGTGTAGTACTGTACATTACTGTACCAGGACACAGTCAGCCAAGAATACAGTGTTTAAGCAGTGATGAGACATAAAATGCTATTACATATACTGTACTGTACATAACAGAGTTGACAGTGTAATCCTACTGTAGGCTAGTGGGTAGAGGTGTATGTATGGTATACACAGTGCATGTAAACTCCCTCCTTCATGGAGAGAGAGGAGAGTGATAGTAACACCTGCTACAGGCGATGGTACAGGACAAAGGCAGGCCATCCTGTATCATCATATCACCAAGTGCAAGATGACAGCATCTGCTGGTGAGTATAGTATAGTGTATACAGTAGTATTTTTTGTTTATTTACAATATATTGTACCTATACAGTGGTGTTTGTATAAATAAATACAGTACAGCTGTTTCTGTCCGTGTGAGATGTGTAGTCGAGACTCTCAGAAAACTTACCCCAGTAAATGGAAAAATTCCATGGATGAGAAATTTGTCCTGAAAATCTCTCCTTCCTGGAAGAGCTCTGCACCAATTATTCAGGCTAACAGGATATCACTATAAGTGGAAAAATTGGGTTTTGGTTCCCAACGACAAGAAAACCCCAACTGAACATGTTAGAAATGTATTGTGAGTAAGAGTTGCCACCTGCTGAACACTGTTTTATGATAATGATTGATTACTTTAATGGTTTAGTTGACATGCAATACAACAAATGTTTTCTTTAACAATATATATCAGCTACTACAGCAAAATCCAAGACTATGATGACGACTTCTACAGGAGTTTCCACCTGGTTGTTAGTGGTTTAGATTCCATTGTTGCCAGAAGATGGATCAATGGGATGTTGTTGTCTCTTCTGTGTTATGAAGATGGTATGCTGGACCAGGTATGTTGTCAGTAAGGTAGTATGCTGAACCAGGTATGTTGTCAGTAAGATGGTATGCTGGACTAGGTATGTTGTCAGGAAGATATTATGCTGGACCAGGTATGTTGTCAGTACGGTAGTATGCTGAACCAGGTATGTTGTCAGTAAGATGGTATGCTGGACTAGGTATGTTGTCAGGAAGATAGTATGCTGGACCAGGTATGTTGTCAGTAAGATGGTATGCTGGACCAGGTATGTTGTCAGTAGGATAGTATGCTGGACCAGGTATGTTGTCAGTAAGATAGTATGCTGGACCAGGTATGTTGTCAGTAAGATAGTATGCTGGACCAGATATTTTGTCAGTAGGATAGTATGCTGGACCAGGTATGTTGTCAGTAAGATGGTATGCTGGACCAGGTATTTTTAAAGGACTGACAGATACAAGGGTGTTGGTAGTACAACACAGCAGTAGCACACCTGCCTCTTACTGGTGCATTCTGGGTTCAATTCCCTGGTCGGATGTGAGACATTATCCAGTGAGACGCCAACTAACATGGCAGGTTTTCTCCAAGTACTGTACATCAGCTTCACCTAACATGGCAGGTTTTCTCCAAGTACTGTACATCAGCTTCACCTAACATGGCAGGTTTTCTCCAAGTACTGTACATCAGCTTCACCTAACATGGCAGGTTTTCTCCAAGTACTGTACATCAGCTTCACCTAACATGGCAGGTTTTCTCCAAGTACTGTACATCAGCTACACTCCTGTACTAACACTGGATAATGAAGGTCATAACAGAGAACAGGCAAACCACCCAAACAGCAAGTAAGTCAATGAGTGTTGGAAATAATAAATAGAAAAAAAGAATCATTAGATATTAAAGGATAAGATGTGTGTGTCTGACAAGGGATAAAGGGTGACTGATGCCTAACTCTTTTACAGGACTGAACTTAAACCTGACAATGTCTCAACAACACTCGGGAGATCTCTAAGGCAGGGGATAACTGTCCAAATTGAATGTTTCTGATACTCTTCATGTTTAAGCACTCAGTGTGTGTGTGTATGTGAACATTTTTAATATCAGAGGTTAGGTTTTTTATTATGTTAGGTTGTTAGGTTATATTATGTTAGGTTAAGTTAGGTTAGGTTAGGTCAGGTCAGGTCATATTTATCTTACGTTAAGATAAGATGTGTGTTTGCTCTTGGTTTGAAGATTTTCCATAGCCAGACTGGAGAAGACTTTGGGGCTATAGAGACCTTCAATAGAGGATGAGCTGTCAGACTTACACTACTATACTCTCAACAGAAGGAAGGAGAACCATTAAAACATAGAGGAAATGCAATGAGCTTTGACAAAAATATAAAGTTGAATCAATGGTACTGACGGTGAATGTTATGTTTATTAATACATTACTGGCTTTAGTAATGTACAGTTAGTGACAAGTTGACTCCCATGGTGAAACCTAGTCATGGGAATGAGTCTCAGAACTGACTGCCCTCTGGTGCATGTGTGTTGTTTGATCACATTTAGGGTCAATACTCCTTCATTTTGAGAGGGGGAGAACTTTTGACTGACTGTACTGTACCACTATACTTTATCTATGAGTTGATGTACTTTAACTTTCTTTCTTTTTTTTCCCTCTTTTTTTCCAGAGTTCAGTGATCCCTTTAGTTGATGGAGGGACAGAAGGCTTCAAGGGTAATGCAAGAGTTATTCTACCTGGTCTTACTTCCTGTATCGAGTGTACACTTGACCTCTTCCCCCCACAGGTAAGAATCGGTCATTAAGGGAATACAGTACAGTAGTGTGGGTGAATGAGGTACAGCTATTCCCTGATTTAATATAGGGTTCTATTCCTGAAAAAAATTTGTAAAAAGAACCACATTTTGGATTAGACTCATTATAAAAGCCGAGAAGCATTCATATGATAAAAATCCTTCCCAAAGTGTCTTAACCATTCATGTACAGGGCCCTCTCTCTCTGCTGAATACAATCATCTTGCATTAACCAACTAAAATACTTTTAATGACAGTTTTTGGTGTACACAATGATATTAAGCCAATAATAAACACAATAAGTGAAATACATGAAGTATAGTAGAGTAATAATGTTGTACTTAAGAGAAACCATAAGAGGTTTGAAACAGAGTGAAGAGGATGAAACACTAATCTATCATCCATAATATTTACATTACTGAACAATTATATTGTGATTAAAGAATTATATAAAATCTTGGTAATATGTCAGCAAAATATAAAATACAGTAGGGTCGGGATATATCGCGAGATAGGGTCCAAGGATGTTCGCTATACAGTGGTCCCTCGGTTAACGAACACAATTTGTTCCAGAGTCGTTCGTCAGAAAATTTCGTTAACCGAATCCATTGTTTCAATGGGATATTGGGTAATTGGTTCCAGCTCACAGAAAAGTACATACAAAGTAAAAAAAAAATGCAGTAAAGTACACTTTCTTTGAGGTGTGTATGTAGAAGGTTCCTGGTTGATGATGATGATGGGAATTAGAAGTGGAGGTGGAGGAGAAGGGAGAAGAGAAGGAAGTGGGGATGGAGGAGAAATCACCTTTCAGGGGACCCATGCTTGATGCGTCATTTCACATCTCCTACTATCAAATGCACATGGCCTCAAGGTGCCCCTGTTATTGGTCAGATTTAAAAAAAAAATGGGGGGGGGCCTTACAGTCCCCCCCCCCCAGCTGGGTGTGCTCGCCATGTTCCCCCGCCCACTACTTCCTGGCTGTATGTCCTTTACCTGAAGGTGTTCTACACATTTCCTCCAACACTCTGTTCTGAATGCACAGTAATACTGTTAATAATAATAAATTCTTCACTTCCTGCCAAACCACTCTAAAAGCAGCAACCTCTACACAAGATCCGATATAAGCAATACTACATCTGCCTCTCCTGCGATGATTTTCTACAGAATAACAAGGTATACCGTAGTGGATGACAAAATTAGTAAAAATGAAAACAATATTTTTTTGTCATAATTATGTAACAATATCTGAGAAAATGAAGTTGTAAAAAGATGTAAATTGGAAGGTTAACAGCCAATAATAACTTTAGTTCTATACCTGTACCGTAGTTAAATGCATATGGATACATTTTAATGATAAATATCCATAACAGAATGGCTACAGGACATGCTAATATGCCAGGAGTTGCAGCAGAGTGAGGCAGGTATGTAGGGGTGCAGGAGTGACATTGTCCACCAGACAGGGTAGACCAAGAGCATGATGAGGAAGTGGGTCACAGAGTGGCAGGTGGAGACAAGGCCTCGGAGCAGCAGGCCATGTATACCCTCCCCAAGGATGAGCGAAGAGATCGTAGGGTCTACATGGTAACCAATTTATGTCTGCAGTGCAGCTGAAACAGGATCCTGACTTGTCCTGCTAACCTAGACCACCAGAAATTGCCTCCATAAAAGTGGTACTGTATCCACTGCTGGGTGCTGGCCCTTAAGGAAAGATGACTCCAGAGAGCTTTTACCATCCACCACATTCTCTGTGATGGGGATTTTTGGAGGAGTGTCATCTTTACAGATGAAAAAAACACTTTATTTCTGTGGTGGCAGGAGTAAAGCATTGTTGGAGGCCCCAGTACTCACATTACCAGCTGCGGTGGCACATCGATGAGTGTGCTGCTAGTGGGAGGGTCAACGTGCCCTTCTGGGGGTGGGTGTACGGTCCTGGTAAACTGGTGAAGATCAGGGGTGGAGTTAATTGGAGAGCAGTATGTTGATATCCTAGAGGACTTCCTTTTGCCCTCTGTTCAAGCCATGGCATTTCCTGCTCCTGACACCATCAGGCTAATCCCGGACAAAAGTTCCATCCAAATACTGAGGGCCTGGCTTCAGGGGTGTCCTGAGATTGAGGTCCTGTACTGACCTTTTGAGGGTAGTGACTAAAATCTAACTGAAAATCTATGGGCCATGATGTGGGGGAGGAGTGCAGCCAGCAAGCAGTGGAGGACAAGGCTCAGATGTGGGAGTGTGTCTGCAGTTGACCTAACCTCTGTCTCACCCTCATTGACTCCATGCCCAAGTAGATACAGGAAGTGGTTGAGGCTGCAGGTGGCTGCTTGGGATGTTAACTATGACATATATGTAATTTGCTTATACATGTATTGTTTTAGAAATATATATAGTATATTTGCAGTCATACTTTAACTTAACCCTGTAACAAATGATAAATAATTTCCAGGTCTTTCATGATGGAACATTATCCAAAAAAAAATACATAGTTTAGCGAGAGTAGCATCACAGATATTGACTCATTACTCTCTCTCTCAAAATAGATACAAAGGCTTTTCTTGTTCCCTTATAATTCAGCTACTGATATTACACTTATCACCTGGACACCTCTTGTTGCTTTTGTTGTGGTATTTTCATTCTTTCAAACTATTTTCTGATGTTTTATTGTCAAGAAAAATCAGAAGGAAAAGCAAATATGGAATCTCCCTTCATCTGTTATTCCTTCTTGTTCTGCTTAACGGCAACTGAGACACCATGCCAGTAGTTAATCACAGTTAACACTCGTAGGTTTGGAAATGGCTGTGAAATAGTGATGATGATTCCACACTAAGGCCCTCTTATTTGGTTTATACCTGTTGCTTCACACAATTTGGATTTAATGTTAGTGATAATTTGTCTTTCTTCCTCAGGTGAATTTCCCTCTTTGTACTATAGCACACACGCCCCGTCTGCCGGAACATTGTATAGAATATGTCCGCATTCTCCTCTGGCCCAAAGAAAACCCATTTCGTGAAAACTTACCCATCGACGGTGATGACCCACAACATATTAACTGGATCTTTGAGAAGGCTCAGAAGAGATCAGCAGAGTATGGTGAGTCTCATCTACCAAGTGTATGTTACAGTTTAGAGTAGAGTGTGTTCAGGGGGTCCCCGGGTTACGAACTGGTTCCGTTCGTGAGTTGAATTTGTACGTAAGTCAGAACACATGCTATATGCATACTGTACTTACAAAATAATGTTTAAAATCCCAGCCATCATTGGTGAATGTTCCTTGTGTGACCATTTTATTCCCATATGGTGCAGAGGAGAAGTGGGAATCCTTTGCCGCTGATTAAGGGTTAGAATCTGACATTTTTGGTCATTACTCATGATTTTTAACCTGGTACAGACACTTGGATCTTCACAACCTGTGTATGGAAAGTGATTCTTGAACACATTTGTCTTCCCAGGCATCAGTGGTGTGACCTACAGACTAACACAAGGAGTGGTGAAGCGAATCATCCCAGCTGTGGCATCAACCAACGCTGTTATTGCTGCTGCCTGTGCTACCGAGGTGTTCAAGTTGGCCACTTCAGCCTGTACACCTATGAATAATTATTGTGTGTTTAATGACTCTGATGGTATATACACCTACACCTATGAACAGGAGAAAAAGGTTAGTCACTGCTCATTATACCCAATCAGCATGGAGACATACAGAGTCCTTCTTGTTGCAATATAAAGGTCCACTTGATGTTTTCTAGGCACACATTATAACTCTCTAGATATATTCCCCTCTCTAAACTTATGTAGGACCAGCTTATATAGAATCAGGTTTCAAAGGATCAACTTCTATAGGAGGTACAGTATATGAGGGATCATATATCTTATTCTGTATCTTAAACAACCTTACATTACAGGAAGATTGTGTAGCATGCAGTCAGGTGCCTCAAGAGCTTCTAGTCCAGTTAACAGAGAAGTTACAAGATGTTATATCAAGGCTGAAGGATTCTCTCCAATACCAGGTAAAGTAGTGACACGGACACAGTACATTATGTACCGTATCATATAGCATGGGATTTTTTTTTTCATGACGTATTGTAAATAAAGAAAATATGAGAATGATGAATAAGAAATTGGTACAAATGAAATGAATATAGAATAATATGATGCAACTTTTTTTTTTTCATGTTGGGTGTGTGTTCAGAGCCATACAGTGCAATACAATACTTTCTTGGTAATCTGAACTGAGTGAGAGGCACCAGACACCTTAGAGGGTTTGGCACAGTGATGTAGTGGAGTCCTTGAACAAGACCATTCTTAATTTTGACCTTTATGGATCACCTGAGAGGAAGAGAGAGGGCAGGAAGGAAGGAGAGAGGGGGTGAGAAAGAGAGAGGACATGAGGAAGAGAGATGGCAGGAGAGAAGGAGTAAGAAGAGAGGAAGGAAGGAGTCAGAAGAGGGAAGGAAGGAGAGAGAGGGCAGGAAGTCAGAAAGAGGGGGCAAGAAGGAAGGAGAGAGAGGAGAAGAGGGCAGGAAGGAAGAAGAGAGGGAGTCAGAAAGAGAGAGAGAGGGCAAGAAGGAAAGGAGAGGGGATGAGAAAGAGAGAGGGCAGGAGGAAGAGAGATGGCAGGAGAGAAGGGGTAAAAAAGAGAGAGAGGGGAAAATTGATCTGCTTAATGTTGTTTCGTATAACGTCGCATTTTCAGGAACGTAACCCCGACGTTAAGCGAGGACTTACTGTACTGTATATAATATATATTGCTGCCTACAAGTCGACCTTTGAAGCTCCAATTTTTGTGTTCAAAACTAAAGGTTGTCTAAGACAACAGGTATAAAGTGTCAACCTCTAAGTACACTCCTCCACTGTACCAGTAGGTCTCAGTCACTTAATTTCCAGTACTCTTAAAAAAAGTTTTACCTAACTGTAACATTTACCAGAAGGTACAACTGTTACTGAACTCAGTCTACAGCAGCTTGGGCCAGTGTTGCCAGCACTTGTTCATGAATGTCACTAGATTCATCCCCAAAGTTGCTAAATAAATAAAAAATCTGGAGAAATACTGGTACATGTAAGACATAATCTAAAGAAATTAATTGTTAACAGTGACTTGGTTAAATGCCAAAAACTGTCACAAGTGTCATTAAAGGTGAAAATAACGCTAACCCGGCAACTATGAGGTCAACAGATGAACAACCCCTCTCTTGTACAGTAGTCCTCACATACCAACAGTACATGAATTTATTTATATGAACCAGTATTAATAATATTATTTATATGTACAGTACTGTACAAAGTATATTGTTTTAGTTATAAATAAAATAAGATTTTAATCATGTATCAATACCAGAGAGTGTAGGGTTCGTTCACTTGTTTCCGCATACTGCCAACACTGTGTACACCCACTAAAATATTATTCGGCATCCTTACGGCATGATACAATATGACACGGGTGCCGAATAATTTTTTTTGGTGGGGTACTACCAAAACAAAACCCGGGAGAACTGTTAAAAAGTAAATGTTGGCAAGTTTAGCCGACACAAAGGACGTAGTTTTCATATCGCAGTTTAGGGGGTCGACTTACCTGCCAGGTATAGGCCTAGATCAACAATTTCAGTTGAAATAATTAAGGTTGTCTTATACACCTGGTCAACTTATAGGCTACAATAAGTGGTAATTATTTTTCCTTTTTCTTGTTTTGTTTTAAAAGTTTTCCACACCTTACTGGGTTTAATACTGTACTGCACTTATTGTTACCTCCGTTTATTTGATGTTGGTATGTTATCCTTTACTTATATACACTGTATACGTAATTTCTCTTGGGTCCACTGTAGTAATAATTCAGGTGATAGGTAAAAGTGTGGTCTCTGTCCTGTTATGTTGTCGTCTTGCTTAATGCTCTTTATGTTTATCTTCAGATGAAAAGTCCCGGCCTTCAGGCAATGATAGATGGACGAACCAAGTCCCTGTACCTGCACTCTCCCGCCTCCATTGAAGAGAGGCTACGACCTAACCTGAAGAAGACTATTGAAGGTATGCTAGAGAGAGAGGGAAGTTTAGGCTTGATTTGGTTAGGTCGAAAAGCAGAAGAGAGCAGCAAGGATGATAGTTGTAGGGACGGTGGCCGTCATCAGTGGTAGTTACCTGTAGGGACGGTGGCCATCATCAGTGGTAGTTAACTGTAGGGACAGTAGCCATCATCAGTGGAAGTTAGCTGTAGGGACGGTGGCCATCATCAGTGGTAGTTAACTGTAGGGACGGTGGCCATCATCAGTGGTAGTTAACTGTAGGGACAGTAGCCATCATCAGTGGAAGTTAGCTGTAGGGACGGTGGCATCATCAGTGGATGTTAGCTGTGGACGGTGTGCATCATCAGTGGTAGTTAACTGTAGGAACAGTGGCCATCATCAGTGGAAGTTAACTGTAGGGACAGGGCCATCATCAGTGGAAGTTAGCTGTAGGGACGGTGGCCATCATCAGTGGAAGTTAGCTGTAGGACGGTGGCCATCATCAGTGGAAGTTAGCTGTAGGGACGGTGGCCATCATCAGTGGAAGTTAACTGTAGGGACGGTGGCCATCATCAGTGGAAGTTAGCTGTAGGGACGGTGGCCATCATCAGTGGAAGTTAGCTGTAGGGACGGTGGCCATCATCAGTGGAAGTTAACTGTAGGGATCATCAGTGGCCATCATCAGTGGAAGTTAACCATGTCAGGGACGGTGGCCATCATCAGTGGAAGTTAACTGTAGGGACGGTGGCCATCATCAGTGGAAGTTAACTGTAGGGACAGTGGCCATCATCAGTGGAAGTTAACTGTCGGGACGGTGGTCATCATCAGTGGAAGTTAACTGTAGGGACGGTGGCCATCATCAGTGGATCATGTTCCTTGTACTCCAATTTTCCATTCATGGGGGAGTGGGGGGTAGTAGGGAATACTCAGCAGTCAGTTCAGGGTTAAATGTTTCTAATATATACAGAACTGACATTGAAAAATATATCTGTTTATGACCAAGTAATCATCTTGCAGAATTGGGTCTGCGTGATGGGATGGAGATAGCTGTAGCCGATGTCACTAGTCCAACCACAGTTCTCTTCAAAGTGAAGATACAAACTTGAGTACAACGGATCTGTCCTTCTACAATAATATTAGTGTTACGTTCTATCTTACGTATAATACTTGTTAGCATTTGTGAGTGGATATTTTTCAAGACATTGCCTTACCTTGCTATCATTTTATTGTATCTCGTTATGAGGCTTTGTCATAGTACAGTACTCTTATCGGTTAACTCCCTACTTTTGTGATTTGTTGGAATTAATGATCAATTCTTAGAAAGTGGAACAATATTAAAATTTAGTATATAACACTTTAATATTGTTGCAAATATAGCTTGACTACCCATACATGTATCTCTTGAGATATTTCATTATAATCTTACTCATCTAGACTGTTCTCCCTTATAACCCACATGCTTACCTTCACCCCGTCCAAGAGGTTGATCGACGCTTCACCAAAACTATTTACTTAATATCTAAGGTTTTTGAATCCTTTCATTTATTATCTAATCCATATTACCAAAGCATCAAGAGCAAAGAAAACAAAAACTTCGTTCTCTTGAAGTGTCATCAAGTTGGGGGACTCATATTCACCCAAAATGTGATGCCTCAGAATCTTCCCACTTACAGCCATTTTATATATTACACTAAACAGGCATTAGACAAAATAGTAAACTCCTTGAGAACTGTCTAAGTCTTCACATGGGAATGAAAGCAACTCCCATGTCTGAAATGAAGACTGGGTTGGGTGGGGAGGGGGTAAATCACATCTTTCTTCCTTGTATATAAATAATATTTTGTGACATGATCCAAGTATGGAGCCATTAATATGTGGTGATCATGCCAGGAAGAGGATTGGATTGCATGAAAGGAGTAAAGTTGAAATCTTGGAACCAAAGTTAAATCTCAGAGAAAGATGTTGGGGTGACCATCGCTGGAGAAAAAAACCACCGCCACCTTATTTATTTTCTTACGTGTCCACCATAACACAATAGAAGCTGAGGGGGGTCATACATTTACCCATCTGTTTACAATGTCATTTCTGTTGACAGCTTGAGCGAGGCTGTCACATGTATCCTGTTAATTTAGGTACAGTTCGATAATGATCAATGTTTTCTCCGCATTATTTTCTATTTGTGACCGCTCTTTTAAGTTTAGCTGGGTCATACATCACTGAGATCTTAGGTATTAAAGGTACTGCAGTGTCAGGTATGATGAGGAGTCACTATATTGATATTCTGAACCTAAACTAATACACTGATAATAATTAACAAGTGTGTGAGTCTCTACAGTAGAAACACCTCAAACAGTGAGGATGGAGCTCAGGCAGGCACTAGTCACACCTGTGGAGAATAGTTAAGACTCTACACACGACACCATCATGACACTCACTATGACAAGCAATAATTTTCCACCCTGTCAAATTTATTTATGAAATTTCTGCACTTGGGTTTAACTTTATAAAACATAAATTTACTTCAAACTTTACTTGTTAGTTGTTAAATTTGTCAAGACTAATAAAAGTACTTTTCAGAATCAGGAAAACTACAAGTCTATTTACCGGTAATAAAATAATTTATAATAAACTTTGTCTTTTATTGTGTGCGGTAAGCTGGATGAAAATAAAAATGAAATACAGTGCATCAATAAAAAAATACAAAACAATTATTACCGTTTAACATTATGGTAAGTGGACGGATCAGACATCCTGAGAAGAAATATACATCACGTGTGCAGACAATGTCAAACACTTTTAATTCAACAACACAACTGTACAAACTTCATCAACACAATATCCTCAGATGACAATATTTACCAAGATCTCCAATGATTTTTTCCCTATTCAGTTACACTTGAATTAAGTTGTCCATCAAGGTATTGGTAAATATCAAGTCAAATTGGCCATTTATGTTAAGTATAGTTTTTTTTTCATGCTTTCTGGATAAAAAGGCATTTAAACATAGAAATTACACAGTGAACCTTCATAGTCTTCAGTTAAAAATATCAAATGACAATAGTTTAAGATCATATATAAAGACGTGGAGTATATATGGAAGCCAATAGTACACCTAATTCATGTGGATGACTGAAAACAAAACACACACTAATGTGCACCCACTTATATCATCTCCAATTGAAGTACCTGTACTATACTTTATGATTAGATAATATATCAAAAGAGAACTAAGAGGAATTTTAAGTGATGTGTAATACAATATTTATAATAACTAAAAATCTGTTGAATTAATAAAAGATTTCACATAACTTCATATATAGTATAGTGATATCCCTTCAGCCAGAACAATTGGTACACAACTCTTTTGGGAATGAGAGTTTTACAGGTAACGAACTTACTTTCTCGTCCCCGGAATTTTTCCTTGTACAGGTAAGGGATTAGTGGGTCACATGTTACTGACCTGGCCTGATGCAGTATCAGGTCATCCATTGTATATAAGCTCTTCTATCATTTGCAGTGAATGAGTGGTGGGTTTAATGACCTGAAGATATCTTGAATAAAGATGAAAGCTAAGGTGCTCCAGTGTTTCCCTTTTCCTGTACATATAGTACTTCACATTTCTGAATGTACAGTACAGTAAATGTAACTGTAATCTCTTTTTACATCTTAACACTGCTTTAACACCGTATTCTTAGCCGATTGTATCCTGATACAGTAATGTACAGTATTGCACAACACATATTGTACAGAAAACAGCAGCAAGTGAGGAACAACCTTGAACAGTGGCAGAAGAATATGAACTAAGTGCACAAGTTACCCAACCAGTTAGTCACTCACGTGGGAATAACGTTAGAGAATGATGCAATCTCTGGAACTCCCAGAAATTTTGTTCCCAGACTCAAAACAAAGAGGTTTGGGTGTATTTTGTCGGAGTTTTCCAGATAATGCACCTGATTTTGGTCCCCAGAAATCTTTCCCATGCCCAGAATTTGGAGAGTTTTCCTGGAATTTTTCAGCTCAATTTCAATTCCAACTATTGGAGAGTTCCGGGAATTACAGTACAGTACAATTGGTATTTTCTTTGGAACATTAAAAGTGACTAGAAATAATATACTGTACACAATTGGTACACAGACTAGGAAATAAAGTAAATTAAAGACTAGAAAAATACATTTAAATACAGTAGAGAAATAAATCAATATAAACAGATTAGAAAAATATATTAAAATACATTAGAAAAATATACTTAAATGCAGCAAAAAAAAAATCATCAAAATACAGTAAGAAATCAATCTAAATACAGACTAGAAAACTACAGTAAAATGCAGTAGAGAAAACATATAGGAATAATATATCCACAAAAATTATAGCTTTTCAACCCCTCAGTGCTGCCCCCACCTGGACCCCAGACAATGTATCCTAGAGTCAGTATTTTATGCCGAGGCCAAATTAAGATAAATAAATTCATCATGGTTTCTGTTTGGGAACAATGTTTAAGAGTATATTGATAATAATAATACTGTAGTAATAATTCAGAGGATATTTCCAAAATATAAATTCACAGCTATTTCTATTATTTTAAATTTTACGGTAAAAAGTTCATAATTCGCTGGCGGGTACCACCTACCTCAGTGCTGATTTATAATACATAGGAAACCATAATTTTTTGGAAATATAACTTCAATGCTCTACTGGTATTTAGAAATAAAGAAAATATGATAAACTAGAAAATGAAGAATGGGAATGAACTCTGTGGAGGAGACAAGGTGGACAGCTGGCTAGACTGAACAGAAATTCCCCAACTTGCAACCCCCATCTCCAGTAGGCTAAATTTTCCTAGCCCAGCTCCTGAATAAAATTTTATTCTTTACTGAAACATATTATTATTATTATTATTAAATAATTATAATTCCTTTTAATTAATTAAAAAAATAATTATTGTAAATTTAAAAGCTGGATAACCCGAGACGATTACTGTCCGTACAGCAGGTACCCAACTCTTCACAACTAATCAGTAACTGTTTTTAAACTCTTATAAAGTTATAAGCATTACTATATATTAATGTCATACCTGCCACATTATCTTATTATTTTTATTAGGAATAGGGAAACATCCTTGAACTTTTGAAAGAAATTATGACAATAAGAGTGAATAACGCTGACAGCCATCACCATTCGTTCGTAGTCTCACAAACATGTGATGTCATCTTCGGCGTGCAACAGAGACTAGTATCCTGTTGCTATTTCATGTTTTTCTCAGTACAACGACTAACAATTATAACAACAGCTTGGTAATAACATATCAACAAGATATTCCTGCTACACAAACTTGATGTTTTCAGTCACTTACTATAAGGTTTTCCAACCACAATTACCATAGAAAATTTATTTCACTTATTCAGACTTACTGTATCATGTTCCATATTAGGAGTAAACATTAAATGCTTAAACATGCATTAAATCATCATCTTTTTTAATATTCCGTGCCAAAATCTTATACAGTATGCCATAAGATATGGTAATCATGCCCTGGAATATCAAATGCCCTCATCTCAAACATTACCTATTACTGCTTCTTCCCTCTGCAGAATATTGTGCTGTTAACTTCATTTACATATTCACTCTCCAACAGTTTCCTTTCCTTTAATGTTTTATGATATAAAATGTCTTTCTAATTATTGGGGATAATTTCACCTGGACCCAACCCCTCGTGTAAACATTCACTTTATATACTGTACTGTATATTGGGATTAAAGTTGTATCCACATTAATGTTATATTACAGTAATAATGAAAATATTTCACTTGTGGTATTATTATCAGACTTGCCTTAACAGAATAAATACTACAGGGTGTCTCAAAATAGTTTATACACATACAGTAGGCTCTCGCCAATAACGACTTCCACAATAACGTTTTCGACAATAACGGTAAGTTACAATTGATACCCATTTTCGATAATAACGTCTGGATTCTCTTGAATAACGGAAACTTCGCGGGAAGCGTCCGAGCGCATCAATGATAGCGTTTGTTTGCCGCCGTGTTGATGACGTAGTTGTCCACTCCGCCTCACTCTCACACACGTTCAGTGGAATACAGCGCTGCGCCCGTGTGTGAGATTTTCGCCACTATAACCAGTGGTTGTTAGGGTCGGTGATCAATAATGGCTTCCGCATTTTTGCCTGTAGGGGCTAGGGGAGGTGGTGGAGGGAGTGATTTGCCACCTGAATGACTGGGAACTTTTAAAGTGAGGAAATTGAACTGTCCTGAGTCTACAGTGCGAAATATTAAGAGGAACTTAGAGGAGACCAAGAAGAGTATTGTGCTGGCTAAAAATATTTCGGTAGTGATGGATATGCGAGGCGAGCTATGAATGATAAAGGTGATAGAAACAGGTTGTTAGTGATAACAGAGCATTTTCTTGTGAAATGGTTAGCTTGTAGAATGAAAGATAGTGCAAGTGTTAGCAGCCCTCAGATACGGAACAACCATCACACTAAGCACCTCAAAAACTAAGTGTTATATTACTCAAACTCTTTATTGTGGTGATTGAATAACAATTCTTTTTATTTCAGCTAACAAAAAGTGTTAGGAGGGCTTCAAGGGGGAAAAACTGGGTGAAATTCTTGTGGCGGCGGCACCAATAAACCCTTTTTACATGTATTTTAATGTCACACAAATAACGTTTTCGCTAATAACGGTGTTTTTCAGGCGCCTATTAAACGTTATTGGTGAGAGCCTACTGTAACCTTACAGATTGATTTATGGATTTTAGGTTCAAAGCCAAGTGCTGGAGCCAATGGTCCCAGTGCTGGATTTAGGTATAAGCTAGATAATGCTAAACTTGGTATATGTACTGTAGATATACAGTGTGTGTGTGTTTGTCTGTGCTATAATATAACCAAATTTGTTTTAAAAACTTAACATTAACAATATCTCCATCTTTTATACAAATTAGACAGATTTATTGTTAAAAGAGTTGACTCTCCTTTGATGATTAAAAGACCTGCAGTCAATTAGGATATGGTTAACTGTCAGGTGTGTGGCCAATCCTCAACCTTCAGGTCACTGTGAGGTATACTGACACTCACAGCATGAGAGAGGCCAACTGCCTCCTTTGCTGCTAGATCAGTGTGCTCATTTCCTTCAATGCCTACACGTGCAGTCACCCACCATTACCTTATAGATTTTTGTGACAAATGTATGAATGTTTGTATTACAACAGCGATATTGTCCTCACACATCAACAAGTGAGGACACTGTTGATGTTGTAATACAAACATTCACACATTCTCTAAAAATCCCCAAGGCAGTGTGTATATGTTTTCATGAGACATCCTGTATAATACACTGACACAACAGAATGTACAGCCCATCTTAAAAGGTTAGTGTTGAGAAGGTGCAGAATTAATAGGTAATATTTTACCTCAATATGGAATGCACTGATAAAATTTGTACTACAATAGATTAAATAAATTAAATATTGAAGTTACACTTATTACCTACGAGGCCACCACATGTAATAATAAGCTTACAGCTTCTCTGTCATCTACAAATATAGATCATCTTGTTAGTCTACATTACATACTGTACTTCTCAAAGGACTCACACAACCAAAACAAATGCACCTCAGTAAGATAACTTAACATTAACAATTTCATTAACCCATCATAGAAGATGGCACAGATCATCTCTAAACTATTAAGACATTATTTTACTTATAACAGCCAGCTCAATGAACATCAATCCTGATGTAAAAAGGCTCTCACCAGCTGGTAAATAAGTCTTGTTCTACTTTTAATAGTTATAATAATAATGTTACAGTACAGTACAGTACAGTACAGTACAGTACAGTACAGTACAGTACAGTACAGCACAGCACAGCACAGTACTTGTTTATATTGTACCAAATGGTTAACATATTTTGCATTTTCCAAAAATATAAGCTAAATCAGTAGGGTCTTAATATAAAGCTTTAATGTCCTGTAGTCTACTTAACCTACAAAGGAAGGATTGCCCTCACAGCTCACTAGTGAGGAACACAGCCTGCAGAGATGGACGGAAACATTACATAGAGTTAATGCTCTGGTAATACTGTGTTGACTTGGGAAGCTTAATAAGCCAACAACCCAGCCAATCATAGCCACTCCTGCAATAAAATTGCCTTAGTATTGGCTTACTATTATTTGCATCAAACTGTATGTCATAGCAGCTTATTAAGAATTACTAACTTAAGCCTATGACTAGTTTAACATATGACACCTTTTGAAGAACCAACCCATCACACTGGTTCACTAACCTAATAAAGCCACAATTTGCATTTTTAATAGACAAGATATAGCTGACTTTTGTATCCTTATTATCGCTTGTTATTGTTTTCGATGTTTTCTTTTATCTGGTTGGTGAGCCACTCCACCCCCTCGTGCAGACCATCGCCAGTGATGGCATTGGAAGCAGTGATATGCCAAGGTTTGTCGGTAATTCGTTCCAGGCCTAAAGCTGCCGATACCTTGACACTGCTCACTGCCTCACGCATGTCCATTTTGTTGGCAAAAAATAAGATGGGAATACGCCGATGACGTATCTGCAATTTACAACAGCCATCAGTTGGAATGTCAATATTGAACAGAAAATTTGGATGTTGTCATGGAAAGTAAAATAAATTCCTTGACTATACTGTACTATAGTAACAACTACAGACAAAGATAGACTTACTTAAGAATTGGACCTTGGGAGAACTCTATCTAATCCTATACATAATAGTAAGTGATCATATAATTTCTGACCACATAGACATTTGTAACTGTGAAGAACCACGAGGTTTATGATGCACTGTTTATGATGAGACAAATTCAAAAGAAATGTCCTAAGAAAATAAATCACTGTTGTGGAAATTATTCCACCAGGAATCCATGAGGTGTCAAATTAAGATATGACAACTTACTTGTAGAAGCCCTGAAAGTTGTTGTATTCTCAGGTAATGGACTTGTTTAAGAGTTAATTACTAAATGTGTTCATTGTGAAGGATAAGTCATTGTTTCTCAGCACTATACTGTATACTATATTGTCTGTAATGATGGATTACTGTATTATTATCATTGATGAGGATAGTTGTCATCATTTTCTCTAATAATAATGAGTTAGTTAAGGTCATCTTATATAGAGTAACACTAAATCTCGTATTAATGTAAAATAATTGTATTAATAAGTGAGAAATCGGCACAGTTTTTGCTGGAGTTTAGGGAAGTAACGGACCGTGAGAGAACAGCAACACAGGAGGAAGCAACAGTGGGAACAGACTCCTTGCTCTGTTACAAGGTGTAATGAATATACCAGCACAGCAAGAAAATCAACCATCGCCTCATTGAGTTCAAGATAAAGAGGAATTAAAACTCCCTTCCACTCAAGAAACTAAGCTAAGTATCTGGACAGTGCTGATAAGGAGAAAAGTTTAGGTTCATACAAGAAGGTGAGACACAGAGGTTAGGTTTAGGTTCATACAAGAAGGGGAGATGGAGGTTAGGTTTAGGTTCATAAAAGAAGGGGAGATGGAGGTTAGGTTTAGGTTCATACAAGAAGGGGAGATAGAGGTTAGGTTTAGGTTCATACAAGAAGGGGAGATAGAGGTTAGGTTTAGGTTCATACAAGAAGGGGAGATAGAGGTTAGGTTTAGGTTCATACAAGAAGGGGAGATAGAGGTTAGGTTTAGGTTCATACAAGAAGGGGAGAGAGAGGTTAGGTTTAGGTTCATACAAGAAGGGGAGATAGAGGTTAGGTTTAGGTTCATACACAAAAAGGTGAGACACAGAGGCAGGTTTAGGTTCATACAAGAAGGGGAGATAGAGGTTAGGTTTAGGTTAGGTTCATACAAGAAGGGGAGATAGAGGTTAGTTTAGGTATACAAGAAGGGGAGACACAGAGGTTAGGTTTAGGTTCAACAAGAAGGGAGACAGAGGTTAGGTTTAGAAGGAGATAGAGGTCATACAAGAAGGGGAGACTTAGGTTAGGTTTAGGTTCAAGAAGGAGACACAGAGGCTACTTAATACAAGAAGGTGAGACACAGAGGTTAGGTTTAGTCTACAAGAGGAGATAGAGGTTAGGTTTAGGGTTCATAAAGAAGGTGAGACACAGAGGTTAGGTTTAGGGTTCATACAAGGGAGACAGCAGAGGTTAGGGTTTAGGTTCACATGCTAATGGGGGAGACAGAGGTTAGTTTAGGGTTCATACAAGAAGGTGAGACATGAGGCTAGGCTTAGGGTTCAAGGCAAGAAGGAGATAGAGGTTAGTTTAGGTTCATACAAGAAGGTGAGACAATAGAGGTTAGGCTTAGGGGTTCACACAAGAAGGAGACACAGAGAAGTTAGTTTTAGGGTTCACAAGAAGGTGAGACACAGGAGGTTAGGTTGAGGTTCATACAAGAAGGGGAGACAGAGGTTAGGTTTAGGTTCATACAAGAAGGTGAGACACAGAGGTTAGGTTTAGGTTCATACAAGAAGGGGAGACACAGAGGTTAGGTTTAGGTTCATACAAGAAGGGGAGATAGAGGTTAGGTTTAGGTTCATACAAGAAGGGGAGACACAGAGGTTAGGTTTAGGTTCATACAAGAAGGGGAGATAGAGGTTAGGTTTAGGTTCATACAAGAAGGGGAGACACAGAGGTTAGGTTTAGGTTCATACAAGAAGGGGAGACACAGAGGTTAGGTTTAGGTTCATACAAGAAGGGGAGACACAGAGGTTAGGTTTAGGTTCATATAAGTTGAACTGTATGATATTGCATCTGTATTGCTGAACTGTATGCATGCTGAACTGTCTACGGTACTGTATCTTCATTGTCTATAAACATATGCACCTGTACTGAACCAATTATAAACTGATTATCTACCATATACATCTAGCCTTAAGCCACAACTTCAAATATAAACACCACCATACCTCAGCATGCTGTAGTAACATATCCAGCTCATCTTTGGCCACAACCAGTCGCAGTTTATCACTGGAGTCGACCACAAAGATCACACCCTGGCAGTCATGGTAGTAGTGCTCCCACAGACTCCGGTAACGACCCTGACCTGACATGTCAAACGCAGTGAAACCCACATTTCTGGCTGAAAGAGAAACACCACACCGTGACATCACTCATTGTCTGCCGCAGTACTATACAGCTCTTTATTCCCGGATATCATTGATAATCTGATACTAAATTATCAGTACTGTACACATTAGTACTGTACAACCCAGTGTGAAGAATTTATTGTACAATATAAACAGGTTGGACCTCTCCAACCCAAAACACCCTCGGGACCGGACCAGAGAATTTTCCCAACCACGAATATTCAATATATTACTGTACCAAAGATGATACAAGTTCGTGTACACGCAGCCTCAGCAACACTGGTCGACTGGTCACCACACTCACCATAATAATGCAGCCCAGATGGAATGCTGCCTCTACATACCCCTAACAACGAGGCTCCCTCACTCCGCTCCCCTTTCCTTTTACGTTTTTGACCTTATGATTTTTTTTTTCACATTCTGTGTGTAGGATTGTGTATACATATAACCGATTTAAAATGATGAAGAAAGTTGCGTACATCTATCTTATATTACAAGTTGAAAAATAACCAACACACAGCTGACAGCCCGGCCTGGTAAGGGAGATGTGGCTACAGCGACGTACCGAACTTGGCAACAATGACACCAGTAATGTTAATGATGCAAATGAAAAGACAATTACTGTATCTATAAATCTTCATTTGTATCATGTATTTGTAGATTTAAAGCAGCAAAGCAGCATATTAAGTGCTCTTCATGTAGCAACATAAAGAAATAATCTAGGGGCATGGTACACAAGCCCAGGTTAAAGGAGCTTACTGGAAAGGTTAGCCTACCATGAGCATGTATCATTCACTATTAATAACCCACTAAAATGCATGAATTTTAAACCCTGCAAATTATTACGCAGATTTAGTTTGACCGTTTACCTTTTGCAAAAAAAATTGATCATAAAAACACCAACTGTGCTCAAGTACATAAGGTAAATAAGCCATTGTAATAATGTATTAGTATTGTTACACAATTTTATGGTAATGGAACTAGGAAATATGTACAGGAAGTAAAAAAAAAAAAATAATTATGACAAGAAAACTTGTGTCAGACTGTGGAATTCCGGACCAGAGAGGTCCGACCTGTGTACTGTATTCAACTTCTTTCAGTGTGAAGGCTTGATGTCCGAAGTCCATCCTTTACTATGTAATAATTATGTGGAAAATACAACCACTAGCAATTATAACCTGGAGAATTACATCCAGAAATGAACTTCTGGTAACTGAACTCCATTATGGCAATTACTGTGTACAAAATGCTATCAACAGTACTGTACAGATACTCATTATGCAGAGAATTCTATCAATGACATAACCTTCAATATTTAAATGGTTTTATAGTACTGTAGTATCAATAACCTTATTTCTCTACTGACTCAAGAGAGAGGAAGGAAGGCACAAGCCCTCACACCTTTATGACATGCAAGGAATCTGGACAATCTACAGTACACTAAAAAAAAAAGCCCTGATGGTCCCTAAAGCCAGTTGCAGGGTCAACTGAGGCCCTGAAACACTAGAAGCAAGTTTAATCTATGTACAGTACTCCACAAGTCTCTGGTTAATAGCATGCTCGGTTATGATGGTCCCAAGTACAGTACAGGAGACAAAAATAAGTAAGGACATTATTGGATAGCATTCACGAGTTATCGGCTCTGTTCTTCAGCCTGCCATTTCACCACTTTGATTAATTATTAATTTATCATTATTTATAATTTCCCCACTGATGATCTTATTTATTTATTTCTACAAATCATTTCACCATTTATCAACTTCCTAAAACATTTGGGCCATCAGTATGTTCTTTATTACTTTGTTACGACCTTTATTATCCAGTGTTAGTACAGTACAGGAGGAAGCTGTAGTAACCAGAGAAAAGTGTCACATCTCACACATGTCCCAGGCCGGGGAATGAACCCAGGACACACGTGCGAGACCAGTGTGTTACCGCTGGACCACCAACACACATTACATGACTGTCAGATATTGACCAGGTTGGTTTTTCCATCACCCGCAGAACACCCACATTAATACCGGTCACTTGTTCCCATACACAATCATAACTCCAATTTATTCTTCAAATAATACCATTATTTTCTTTTAACAATTTCTTAATCATGACTTAAACTCTTTGTGTACGGGGGTCCCTCTCTGCTGCATAAGATCATCTGACGTTACCGAGGCAAAATATAAAAAGTGGTGTCCCCATAGTGAAGGGGTTGAATTTATTACCACAATTTCCTACATCATCATCATCATCTTCCTTACTATCTTAAGCCTTATTACTATCAGAGATTAATAATTACCTAATGTTAACCCCTTCACCACGGGGAGGCCACTTTTTATATTGTATTTGGGTAACGTCTGATGATTTTATGCAGCAGAGAGGGACCCTCGTACACAAGGGGTTAAGAAGATATCAGAGGTAATGTAGTACAGTACATACAGACATCCCCCCCGGATTACAGAAACTCTGGTTACAGAAATTTCCACTTTTAGAATTTGGAAATTATGACCAATAAATTTGGGATTTGGCCAAAAATTTGCTCTTTTGGAATTGGGGTAAGTTCTTAGGATTTAAAAAAAAAACTTGTGATATAGAACAAACAATTTCACCAAATTATGTGCATTTCTTGGTGGTTGCTACAATAGGCTGGAGGATGGTACTTACCCACACCAACAGTACTCAGTTTGATTTCAAACCCCAGCTTGTTCAGTTATGCACCTGTGTTACTGTGAACCCTTATCCAAGATGAGTGGAAAGAGACCATCAAGTTCAAGTGAAAGCAGTGGTGATAAAAAATCCCTCATAGGAATTATGTTGGACACTAAACTTAATGTTTTAAGGAGGTAACTCCCAGTAACTATGATTACACCAATTCACCTCACCACCTCCTGCAGCACTCAACATCATTTGTGGTGAGTTTAAATCACGTGTTGAGGGCATTTATTATCCCATAACACCAACAATAAATGTGTTTAAAAAAAAAATCATTCACACGTTCTTGAATTACGCATTTTTGCCTAAAAAATTTCTTTGGGAATGCATCTCCAATTATATAATGGGAGTCAATGGAAATCCACGTGACAAACATTTTTCAAGGATGCATCCCTCCCATAACCCGGGGGATGCCTGTATACAGACCAAAATGAACGTTACTCCAGCATATTTGTGTGATTCATTAGGAGGTGGAGATGACCAATACCATGAGACAAAACGATGACTTTAACCCTTCGTGTACGATGACTTCATTCTTTCAATACGATGAATTAACCCCTTGAATATGGTGACATAACCCCTTATATGCTGTAACTTAAATCCTTGAATACAATGACTTAACCCTTTAGTATGATGACTTAATCACTTGAATAAGATAACGGACCCCTAGCGACATTCCTAACCCTTTAGTATGATGACTTAATCACTTGAATAAGATAACTTGACCTCTTGAGTACAATAACTTAACCCCTTCAGTGCTCAAGGGGTTAATGTCAATTGTATTCAAGGGGTAAAATGTTTTATTGAGCGGCAAAAGGAAAGGCTTGGCCACGTGGATCTGACGCCACACACCAAAAACAGGTTAAGATAAGATTATGGTACAGACTATAGCACAAGGTGTCCATAAATTACCTAACTGTGAGGGCAAACTTTTTCGGAGTGAGAGTTGTGAACTCTTGGAACAATCTACCAGAAAGTGTTGTGACGGCACCGAGTGTGAGCTCTTTCAAGACCAGACTTGACCAACATTGGAGCAGGTTCAGGTACAGTCAGGAGCCGGTGCATGCCCAGTACTTGCCAACAGTGTGTAACAGAGACGTGACCGATCGCCCAAGTGACTAACGAGCCGATCAGTGGTGAAGAGGATAAAAGTAAAAGCATCAATATAACACACAGCTGGTGGCCAAGAAGCATCAACATTAATACAATCGGCCCCTAACCATTATACGCGAGAGAATAACACCACTCATATAACAGAAAAGATGGGGACTATCCTGCCAGTTCACACAAGGAGGTGGCGGGTCCCCCCAATCACTAAAGATGAGGAACATCTCTTCAGTTACACAAGGACCTGAAGGGACCCTCCAAGAAACACTAAAACAGCACATTCCCTTGGACCGCACTTTAAACTAGCTGAGCTTAGCTTATCTAACCTCCCTTGCCCCTGGAGGACTGAGGGACGTCTGTCACTGGTTAAGCCACAAACCAGCCTCCGCAAGGTGGAAAGCCCACCTGCTATCATTCTTCTTCTGTACTTCCCACTTCTTACCTATAACTTGCCCTAAATCTCCTTGTTCACCTCAGAGCCACGGCTCTCATATCTCGGTGTTCTGATTGCCTGAGGGCCAGACAACACCAAGCTCTTAAGTACAGACCTCCTCTAAAGAAGCTCCTCCACAACAACTTCCCAGCACCTTGCTGTTCTGTACATATAATATATAAATAAAGAAAGCGCCATTGTGAGTTTCCTTTCTCACCTCCATCCTCAGATCTCCTTCGTGTACGTATGTATGTGAGCCTAACAAAGAGAAAGTAGACAACAAAGAGAAGTTAGACAACTGGCCACATACACTACGCTACAAGTTTATACCAAGTACATGACCAAGAGAACTTGTGCAATATGTCAAGAACACAACAGTGGTTACCTTGTGCTGGTGATCGCGGAAGCCCTTGTGCTTTAAAGGGTCACCTGTAGCACCGTCTTGACACTTTTATGACACCTCATGGCACTTGACCACACCTTGCAACGCTTTACGACACTTAGCAAGACTTTAAAGCTTCAATGGCACTTTACGGTTCTTTGCGAGACCTCACAGTACCGTACGACACTTTTCCACAGCGTATGACACTATTGTATGATGCTTGGACACTTTATAACTATTCGACACTTTATGACACAATGAAACTATTTGGCGTTTTGCAGCACTTTAGAACATTGACACTCTAGGATACTTCAAGACACTTTAGGACACTTCACATCACTTTCGGACACTTTATAACACTTTAGGACACTTTATAACACTTTAGGACACTTCACATCACTTTAGGACACTTCACATCACTTTCGGACACTTTATAACACTTCACATCACTTTATAACACTTTAGGACACTTCACATCACTTTAGGACACTTCACATCACTTTAGGACACTTTATAACACTTTAGGACACTTCACTTTAGGACACTTCACATCACTTTCGGACACTTTATAACACTTCACATCACTTTATAACACTTTAGGACACTTCACATCACTTTAGGACACTTCACATCACTTTAGGACACTTTATAACACTTTAGGACACTTCATTGAGCACATCTTACGACATTATACCACACTTATTCGACTTAATGGCACTTTATCAGGCCAATTGGCAATTAAAAGCACTTTATGGCACTCTCAGCGCCGTATGCCACTTAACGACTCTTATATCACTCTTATGACACGTATGGGTGTTTTGGGCGTCCACAATTACTCTGTGTCATTTATAAGTCTTAATGACACAAACACTTGGCGATGCTTTGCAGTCCTGTCAATTTCAGTCTCTTCAGCGGCTATTTATTTGTCTATAAACCTTCCTTACCGGTGTCGTGCGCAAAACCTTCCGGGGTAAATGCTTAGTTTTGGGTATTAAATTTAATTATAAAGTTATAGTAAAATTCATACAACTTTGGTGGTTTTCCAGTTCACTTAAGTGTTTATTGTTTTATTCTTCACGGGGTACACACATGATCAGCCTCCACCATCGGTTAAGTAGGGTAAGATTTTGTAATGTTAGGTTAGGGCAGGTTAGGTTAGGTTAGGTTAGGGCAGGTTAGGTTAGGTTAGGGCAGGTTAGGTCAGGATTCCTTGGGTTTGATTAGTTCATTTTTTGTGTTCTTACCCCACAATTTCCATCGACTTCAAAGCACTGCCCACTTTGTGTTTTCATTGTCTTTGGTAGTGAGTATGTTTCGTATCATCCTTATACTGTAGTCAGTTTGCCCAAGATGGGAAAGTCATTCAAAACCTTCCGTTACTGTATTTATTAATATTTTCAGCTCTCACAGATCAACCACAAATCAACCATACACCTTAGATGTCGATAATGAACATCAGTAATTGCTGAGCCCAGAAGGTTTATCGCACTGGAAGATTTACTTTTACTTTTCTTTTATCCTCTTCACTTGTTAGCCGCTCGGTCACGTCTCTGTCACCCACTGTTGGCATGTACTGGGCATGGATAATGCAGGTCTATCGTCCCTTGGGTCCCACAGGCATCGATGAGATCTGATATTGTCTATTATGTGTTTTTGGAACAGGCTCGTCCACACAGGAGTTGATAAAGAGGCCGTGAAGACCTTGAACACGTGGCTCACTATAAACAACGTCAATTATATTTCCGACTATCATCATCAATAACAAATACGCTTTAGCAATTTATTAAAAAGCGTTACTAAATATTTATTTTTGTAATTAGATGTAGTTATTTTACATGGTTCGGTATTTATTTTATATAAACATCCTCAATGTTGAGTATAACTATAGATCTTGATCACAGAAATTGGCGCAAACCAGTCAGGTGAAAACTATAAGCTTCGTCTGAGAGAAACGGGGTAAAAAAAATACAAATCGTTGAAAAAACGACGAAAACCGGGAAAGTTGACGAAAAACGTGCTAGTGTTATGCATTTACTTTTTACTTTTTTACTTTTATCCTCGTCACCACTGATCGGCTCCTTAGCCGCTTGGGCGATCGGTCACGTCCCTGTTAAGCACTATTGGCAAGTACTGGGCATGCACTGACTCCTGAATGTACCTGAACCTGCTCCAATGCTTGTCAAGTCTGGTCTTGAAAGAGCTCACACTCGGTGCCGTCACAACACTCTCTGGCAGAGTGTTCCAGAAGTTCACAACCCTCACTCCGAAAAAAATACCCTTCACAGTTTTCTGGACTTGCGGCTTCAATCTTGAGATGTTTATACACCTCAATTAGGTCCCCCCTTGCCCGTCTGTAGTATAAGCTAGGCAATTGCAGGCAGGGTCGGATCAAGCTTAATAGGGGCCTGAGGCACAGATCAACTTGGGGCCCCCTACCCTCAAGGTATATATAAATAACAAGAACAAAATACTATACCCAAATTTATCAATTATTTCATCAATATTAAGCTTCTGCAAAATAACACATTTAATGTTCAACAGAAAATCGAGACGTTGCTAGGACATCGTTGAACGAAGTTCATGTTTTATATGCTTCAACTTCGAGAATGTTTGGATTTGGGGGCCCCTTAGAGTCGGGGGGCCTGAGGCCAGTGCCTCAAGTGCCTCATGGTTAATCCGGCACTGATTGCAGGGGCTCTAATCTCTCAGGGTAGCCGAGGTGCCGTAGAGCAGGCACCAGCTAGCCTCCTCTATCATTCCGTCTGAGGCTGGCCCCAGCCGCCCAGACATCGCAGCCGGAGACACTGCCCCCCCCGGGCAGCCCCCCAGCCCTGCTGCTGGAGATGTTGGAGGTTCTGTCTTCCTGGTTCTGGGGAGAGCAGCTGCAGCAGCAGCAGGCCCAGGCCCCTTCCACCCAACAGCCTATGGCAGGGAGATCTCGCCCTCGCTTCCCCTCTCTGAACCCCTCGGTGTTCTCGGAGTCCGGTTCTGAGTCAAACTTCAAAGAGGGCCTGGTCCTCACAGGGGCTTCCTTAATACTCCGACTCGGACCAGGAGTCGGTCTCGGCGACCTCTCAAGCCCTTACAAGGCCCAGGCCTTCGTCAGGAGAGGTGGCCTCCCCCACACCGACGGGCTCTCCCCTCTCTTTTAAAACACCTGATGACATCATCAGCCAGGGGGCGTACAAGTGGGCTTGGGTCCCACGGGATTGGTGTGTGCACTGGCACCAGGGGAAACTGGCCATTTTTTCGAGAAAAAAGTGGGGGGGAGGACCTAGTTCTCTCTCCCCGGTCCGACCTATAGATCAGACGACGGGCAGACGACTAAGTCTCGGAGTACTTCGAGTTTCGACAGTTTCTCCTGTAGAGAAGGGAGAGGCCCCAGCCCTGTCAGGAACGTGCCCGGTCGCAACCCTGGACGCCTTTGACTCTCTGGCCTCCTGTTCCGTGCTGCCCACTGCAGGTCCTTCCAGAGTGGCAACACTACAGGACGGTAGGTGGTGTGCCCGGGCGTCCGGCCAGGCCCTCTTTCCGCGGGAGAAGGTGGGCCTGGACCTCCAGTTGGTCTGGACGACAGCGGCTGGAAGGAACAGCTCTCCCATCACCTCCCCCTCACCGGCCCCTGTTGTCTTATCCCCCACAGGATGACCGGGTGCCAGACGAGTTGAAGGAGTTCCTGTGGGCTCCGAGTTAACCCAGTCCTCCCTCCCATGGCAGGCCTCTCAGGCCACCCTGACCAAGGACGCCATGGAGAGGCAGAAGGCCCAACTCGGCGCCTGGTTGAAGGCACTGGCCGACAACCCTAACTCTCTCCACTCAGACTTGTCGTCCAGCGTCTACGATGCCCAATCCACCCTCGCTTCCGGACTCGCCTCCGCCTCGGCCATCAACCTCGCCCTCAGCTGGTTAAGGCTTTAGGGGCCCGGCTGAACCTCCGGCGGGAAGCCTTCAGACACCGAGATGCGGAGGTGCGGCAAGGTCTGTTATAGCTGGCACTCTTTGCCCCGTCTGTGATCCCAGAGGAGGCCCTGCAGCCAACCTTCATCACGGTCGCTTCCCCCGCCAGTCGCCAGCCCAGACCAGGCAGCCTAAGCAGCAGCGACAGCAACACCAGAGATAGCGCCCCAGGCACTCCAACAACCAGGGACGCTCTCAGGCCTCTCACCGCAACCCCCGCCAGAACAACCGTGAACAGCCCGTTCAAGCCCGACAGGGGCAGGGTCCCCAGGAGCCTCGGCAACCTCGCCGTGAGGGCGGTCACTCTAGGGGTAGTTACTCCCCCGGGGCAGTGAGAGGTCAGCAACAGCGGATCGCCTGCAGTTGACCACCCGGAGAGGAGCCACCTTTCTGGTTGGGGCGACTCCTGGCCCTCCAGCGGCTGAGCGTTGAGGATCGTCAGGCAAAGCCTCACCTGGCCATGGACCCGCCCGCCTACACTCCGAACACCCAGCAAGTGGACCAAAGTGAACAGCCACGTAAAGGCGCATGCCCAGTCCATGCTGCTAAAAGGGGTAGTGGAGAAGACAGAAGGACGTGTCTTTCTGTCCCGATTATTCAGTGTCCCCAAGAGGGACTCGGACAGGTAGAGATTGGTGGTGGACCTCAGCCGCCTGAACCACTTTATCAAGCCACACCATTTTTGAATGGTGTCGGTAGCCCAGGTCCGCCTCCATCTCAAACTGGGGGCCTGGCTATCTTCCATCGACCTGGAAGACGCCTACTGGCACGTCTCGGTCCACAGGAGATTCTTGGGTGCAAATACCTGTGAGTCTCATGTGGGAAAGTTTCCCATGTCGGTATCAAACCCATATACACAATATGCTGTATTCTGCTGTTATTAAATAAATATTGTATTGGCGAACACTAAAACAAATAATAAATGAGTGATGAATATAATAAAAGGAAATGCCAAAAAGGAATTTAAATCAACTGTATATTTTATGTATGGGTCTAGAAATAAAATGACAAATGTTCAGAATGTATCAGGATTCAGCTAAACCCACTCGTTTTACCCTATCATTGCTAGGGTAAGGGGTCATAATTATTGTACTTATTTATTAACCTACGTGTGTGTGTGTGTGAAGATGTAATAAGGAGTTTACTTGTCTAGCTACTTTCAATCCGTGAACTGTACACATATGGTACAACAATCATATTTTAGTGTATTAGAAAGACATATATATCTCTAACACATCTGATTTACTTAATTAAACTTTACACATGAATAATAACAGTCATAACTAATACAGATAACACCAAGAATGGGAGTAATTAGATGAAATACAACTCCAAGAGGTGGAAGGGCCAAGAGGTGGAAGGGTTTATCGTGAGGTGAAGTGATCTGGCAACAGTGGTCGACAGTCTCTTGTTTGTTGTGTTGACGGCAAGACGAAAATGGAGGAGGACCCTCAAAACCAAGGTACAGCTTTAATCCTCTTTTACTCATGTTATTAAGGCGAGGATGACGGAAAATTGTACACTTGTGACATGAGGTGTGAAGGATGACGCTGGAGGATGACCTTTATATACAAGTGTTATCTTTGGTGATTTTACGATGTGTTAAGAGATGAGGACAACCTTGAACACCATCAATTATAACTAGTTTTATACCTATAGTATATTATATACTAATACCTAGCTAAGTTAAAAGATGAAGTTGTAGTTAGAGGCTGTTTTTATAGTCAATTGAGGTACTTGTTTGTGAGGGTGAAGGTTGTAGTTGTGTTAGTTATTGCCCAACATATTTCGTGTTCTTTTTTCCTGCTATCTCTCTCGTGTGTCGTGCCTCAAGCTCTTAACATATATATACCTCATACTTTACCTTATTTAACCACTGTAACTTATATATTATACTTAATGATTTTTTTTTTTTGGTCATAGAAGGGAAGTTGTTATTATTTAGTTAGGACAGATCCAAAAATGTCACAAGTGAAGATGATAGTTTTGGAACTGTCTTTGAGTGATACTTGAATTTTGTTTTATTATCATTAGAAAGGTGTTATTTATACGACTTGTCTTGTGCTTTAAAATAGTGACTCTTACTGTTAGGTCTAAAGATGGTAAATTAAGGATAGTAGCCACAGGTTTTGGTTATTAGGTTAGCTCGGTTACTGCCAGAAACGAAGATCAGATCCGTTTGAATCACAAGAACCATAGGAAAAGTATATTTTTTATGGAAAATCAAAACCTGGCGACTCATAAATTGGGTAAAATATCACTTATAGCCACTATACGAAATTGAAGCTGAAACTATGTTTTTCTGATGTTTTTGATGCGTTATGAACGAACTTGACCTTAATTTCTGGCGCAAATCAATAGTTTCTGAGATTATCCTTCTCCCATTTCAGAATCTAGAGATTTGCTATAAAAATCAAGGTAAACAGTATTCAAAACACATCGAAAACCATCGGAAAAACAGAACCCTAACCTAACTGGGGAGCTCCACATTTGTTCCATGTTTTGTGTGTGTACCGCTATGTCGTTCGATGTTCTGGGTGTGTACCACCACATACGAACATAATAAAAATTTTAATATATTGCTTAAGCTTAATTTGTGCTAGAAATGACAATGAAGAAAGGTGTCTCAGAATTGTCAAAATTACCGATTGCAGCTATAAAATCCCGAGATGGTGTAGTGGCAACAAGTGAAATAATACCATAAATTGACCCCAAAGACAATGCAGCAGGCTGTGCAGATGAGCAGTGCCCGGCGGCCCGGCTGTGCCCTGACTGGGGGCCATGCAACTGATTTTTCACATTCACATGCCTGGCACTTGCCCGGTGGACAAGCTAATACAGTACAGTATTTTGAGAGGAAAATAAAGTACAATACAATATAATACCAAGATGAGAATTTGTCAGGTGCTGTGTGACCCCACCTCACTGTACATGTTTAACCTGGACTGCTTGTTACCGGTGTACCAGGATTAGTGGCCTTTGTCAGGTGTCGGTAATTTTTCTGTACAGTATATAAAGCCATCAACTAGGCAGTTAGTTTCAAGTTATCAATGTTTCAAAAATAGTCACCAAGCTGAGAGGCTATAAATGTGAGTTACAGGAGGTACTACCTCACCTGAGAGGCTGTGGATGTGAGTTACAGGAGGTACTACCTCACCTGAGAGGCTGTGGATGTGAGTTACAGGAGGTACTACCTCACCTGAGAGGCTGTGGATGTGAGTTACAGGAGGTACTACCTCACCTGAGAGGCTGTGGATGTGAGTTACAGGAGGTATTACCTCACCTGAGAGGCTGTGGATGTGAGTTACAGGAGGTACTACCTCACCTGAGAGGCTGTGGATGTGAGTTACAGGAGTACTACCTCACCTGAGAGGCTATAAATGTGAGTTACAGGAGGTACTACCTCACCTGAGTGGCTGTGGATGTGAGTTACAGGAGGTACTACCTCACCTGGGTGGCTGTGGATGTGAGTTACAGGAGGTACTACCTCACCTGAGAGGCTGTGGATGTGAGTTACAGGAGGTACTACCTCACCTGAGAGGCTGTGGATGTGAGTTACAGGAGGTATTACCTCACCTGAGTGGCTGTGGATGTGAGTTACAGGAGGTATTACCTCACCTGAGAGGCTGTGGACGTGAGTTACAGGAGTATTACCTCATCTGACAAGAGTTACCAGCACAGACAGCAATGATCTCATGAGTTGATCAACAATAAATTTGAATGTTTTTAAATGTTTATTTAACTTTTCCCATAAGAAATTTGAGTAAGCAAATTTCCTCCAAAAATATCCGGACAAGTAAATTTCAAAAGTCACTTGCCGGGAACAAGTAAATGTTGCACATAAACTGTCCAGCCTGCTGCAGTATTAGTATTGTTTATAACGTTACTGTACTAGATTTTGACACTTTTGATACATTTAATATCACATTACAAAATTATTGGAATGACTCATTTTAACTATAAATTTTAAGTTCTGGTGATGGACCTTTTATCTTTTAGAAATGTACATAAACCTTCATTGACTTATGGTAGAATTTAGTTGGAATAGACTGTTTGGTTTGATAGTACAGTACTTAGTAGTGTTTTGTTGATTTACCTAAAGTGAGGAGGCCACAGCATAAGTATTTTCAGATTTGGTAAAGGTGAAGGAGACATCACCAGAAGGACAATATGGAGTTGTACCATATTTTCTGGAGATGTTGTTTGGATGATACTGAATAATAACATTGAAATGGCAACATTGTAATATATTTTGTCTTTCTTTTGAGCATATCTTTCAATCACAAATTACTTGTTAGTGGGCAGGGCATGAAAGAAGAGGGAAATAACTGGGTAAAAACACCGTGAACACTGATCATATGGCAGGAATTTCATGTCTCTACTTTCTTTGTAGGCGAAGAAATAAATATATACCGTAATTATGGCACCGTCGGATCTCCCGTGACGACCATATTTTGGTTCACGTCATCTGCTATATGGGAACGTTCACAGTCTTTGTCTACATGTTATGGGAGCGTTCACAGTCTTTGTCTACATGTTATGGGAGCGTTCACAGTCTTTGTCTACATGTTATGGGAGCGTTCACAGTCTTTGTCTACATGTTATGGGAGCGTTCACAGTCTTTGTTATGGGACATGTTACATGGGAGCGTTCACAGTCTTTGTCTACATGTTATGGGAGCGTTCACAGTCTTTGTCTACATGTTATGGGAGCGTTCACAGTCTTTGTCTACATGTTATGGGAGCGTTCACAGTCTTTGTCTACATGTTATGGGAGCGTTCACAGTCTTTGTCTACATGTTATGGGAGCGTTCACAGTCTTTGTCTACATGTTATGGGAGCGTTCACAGTCTTTGTCTACATGTTATGGGAACGTTCACAGTCTTTGTCTACATGTTATGGGAGCGTTCACAGTCTTTGTTACATGTTAGGAGACGGATGACAATCACATCGGGCGTGTTTATTACAATTTGTATTGGTTTGAAATCGGTAGGATGGCGCGGGAATAACTGGTATGATGGTGACGTCATTCAGGACGGTGGCCAGTGTTCAGCTGGCTGGGTCTCGTGAAATTCACAATATTTTACGCCAAATATAAGACTTGGTTACAATAGGTAGTGCTCGCGAAATTCAAAAACGCGAAATGAAATACTATATCGCAAAATATGAGATCTTACTGTATGTGTGTGTGTGTGTGTGTCTACACACACAAACACACACACACTTATTTACAATACAGTATAGTCTCGTTTTACGCGGTCAATTAAACCCATGGAGGTCCGCGTATAACGCGTAGACGAAATAACAGAACATATGGGATTAATTGAAATAGAGACTGGGCCGACCCCCAGACTACCCTTTTTCCGACACAATACGTACGTTGTAGTAAAAACAACATTTTAATTTTATGATGGTATGCACACACAATTAATATATAAGAGAAATATCAATAATATTAGGTTTTTTAACACTTACGTTAGTAGAAGAGATGGCTGGGAACACAGGGATGGGGGGTTGGTTCCGAGGCAGAGGGCAGATTATTGGCCCTCAGGTGTATCACCTGTATCACTATCCACCACAGATGTTAGCAGGGCCTCCATGTCAAACCCCTCAAAGTCCATATCCTCACTATCATTGACTTGGGTTGGCTGTGGTTGTGGTGGGTTGCGGGTGAAGAACTCGGTAATGTTACGTTGACGGCTGGCATTGATGTGGTCGTGATACATCTGGACATACGGCTCCATAGATTTAAACAGAAGGTTATTTGACACTTCATAGCGATGATTGACTGGGTCTTTGGCAAGGATGAGCTTGATTTTCTCAGCAAACTCGATGACCTCCTTCACATCACCATGTGTTAGTTTCTGTTCTTGTTCTTCCGTAACACCTGGCTGTTCACTGACGTCATCATCTTCCAACATCTCGTCCGCAGTCACCTCAGGTTGCCTGATTACCTCCAGGATGTCGTCGTTGGTGGTCTCGGAGAAGCCTGCAGCTCTAACGCTCTATGCAGCCTCTTGCAATGTCCAATGCCACAGCAACAGACTGAGCCTCACCAGCCACTGCTTGCCTCTGCCTCTCACCTGGGATACCCTCCAACACATGCCGCCACGCGTGACGAATCGCTGCCACAGACAGCTGCCCCCATGCCTCCACCAAGAAATCAACAGCTTTCTTGACGTTAAACAGTTTCCAGAACTGCTTGACTCGCACTTCATGGTCTGCCAAATCTTGTTCTGGATCCTTGTCCTCGCTATCGGTGCCACTCAGAAGGTTCTGCAATTCATCCTTGGTGTTGGTGAAGTCGTTCAGGAGCCGAAATTTCTTTGCGGAGAAAGCAGCCTTCACGTTGCATATCAACTCCTGATCCATGGGCTGGATTAACGACGTAGTGTTAGGGGGAAGGAAGACCACTTTTACATTGGGTTGATGATCCAGCAATAGGGGCGAGTGTCCTGGTGCG